ACCAAAAAGAGCTTTGTTTCACTGCATGCAGTGGTGGCTTCGCTTCAGCCTTTGTGCGGCTTGAGGGTCTGCCGGTTACACTTCGGCCATGGAGGCCGCCTGCGCTAAAGATCATAACCGAACGTACCCTGAATGAACATTGAGTCCTTCTTCTGTTTGAGAACTTTCTTGTATGAAGTCTTGTCGACCCGCATGCCATTACCAATGCACACCTAAAAGTAAGGCAAACTCCAGTTCATCTTTGAATTCATACTATGCGCAAGACGTCTACCAGCGTAATATACCTGTATCTGGATTTAAATAGAGGTCCTATTTGTCAACGATATTTACCCAATCAAATATTTAAAGCTTTTGTGTTAAAAGATGCATACAAAATGTGAAACCTTTTGTATGCATCCACTGGAAAACCTACTTGGTAGTGAATTCAGTTTATTGAGGACAAAATCAGGCCATTAAAACTGCCTATCGACAAAATGCTAAAATGGGTGTTTTCTAACCTTATTCTTTCAAGCATAACTATTAAGGCTCTTGCTAGTTCTAAAATATATTAAAATATTACAATGTTTCTTTGTATTGTTTTTTAATTCCAAGGTGTATAGCACACTTAAGGCTCTGTTATACTCCGACGTAACGCGTGCGCGCGTGCGAGCGCGTCACAGCGACGTCACGTCGGCGAAAACTCGACGCTCACCAACTCAACTCTCCTACGTCACGCCGCGGTGGTGGCGCGCCGGACGCACTTCCGGTCTGGGGCGGTGGGCAGAAGTCGCCGTGCCAGACATGCATTCCTGTGTTCCTTTGGAAGAAACGAGACAAAAAACCTGCCTTCTCGTCAAAATGCTGCGATGGGGGCTTTACCAAGAGAGTCTGGGAAGGCTTGAAGATCAGTTTTCATGTGTTTTTGCACCCTCCGTTCGTCCGAGAACGTGGATAGCAGCCGTGAAAAGGGCAAACCTGACGCTGTCGAACTACGATTGCGTGTGCGGGCCACAATTTGTAGTCGCCAGATGTATTTGCTTGGTTCCAACATGACCGAGAGAAAACCCCCAAGTTTTCCGGACCACCCACGGATTCAGTGCGTCTTCAAATTCACACGGCCGCCTGATCGTTCGGACTTTCGTCTGCTCTTTCAAAGTTGTCTGCTTTTTGTCGTCTGCTCGTTCAAACAAAAGCGGCCCGTAGACCAAACTTTGACCCGGCGATTGCAATAAGAAGTAATTGCAGGCCTGAAAAGACTTAAGTAGGCTCGGTGTCAACAGTAGATACAAGATGTTAATTATTGGTACCGGTGGCCATCACCTACTTGTTACGCTTTGTCTGTTCCCGCTTCCGATTTTCAGTATCGACGTCGATCATCGCCGCTACCTTTTACACTTTTGCAGCACGAGCGACGTCGCGACCGAAAATAGCTACAAGAATCTCATCATGGTTTTGGCGTCCATTCTGCAGCGTTCATGCGAATGAATCGCCGCACGTCAAATTATTTACGGAAAGTTTAGCGGCGTAACGAGCCTTGATAATTTCGCTCAGGCGATTGAAGTGGTAAGACATTGCGATGAGGACGTAGAATCGACAACTCCAACGCGAAAACGAGTATGCAGACTCACACAGACGCCGACAACGTGACATTCGAATGGTTTGTTGACGCGGGACGCGGTGCTTCTTGCCCGTACTCCATTGCGCGTGCATTCGAACTGTCGTCTGCTCTTTCAAACTTGGCTGCTTTTTGTCGTTAGTTCGTTCAAACGACAGCGGCTCGTAAACCAAACGTTGACCAGGTAATTGCGATAAGAACTAAGTGCAGACCTCAAAACAATTTTGAAGGTTGGTTGGGGTAAGTCGGCTAAGTGTAAACAGATACAAGAAGTTGTTGATCATTGTTACCAGTGGCCATCACCGACTTGTAATGCCCGATTCTACTTGAGGCTTTCAGTATCGATGTCCACCATCTCAGCTACGGTCCACGCTTTTGCAGTCCGAGCGACGTCGCGACTGAAAATAGCGAGCAGAATCTCGACGTGGGAGTCAGGCTTTAGCGCCCGTTCTGCGGCGTCCAGGTGAAATGAATCGCCGCACGTCACATTATCCACGCAAAGTTTTGCCTCGATAGTTTTGCTGAAGCCGCTCAAGTAGTCAGACATTGTTAGGAGGACGTAGAATCAACAATTCCAACGCGAAAAAGAGCACGGGGACTCCCACCGACGTCGACAACAACGCAATTCAATGGTTTGTTTATGGGCGACGGCGGGCTTCTTGCCCACCATCCACGGCGCATGCGCGGCGCCGGTGACGTCCGCTAGGGGCGCTCCGGTTTGTTTGTAAACATGAGTTGGTGTATACTCCGGCGTCGTGGCGTAACCGACGCGACCGGCGGCGTTCGACGCACCCTGACCGCCTCGACGCCAAAATGGAGCGTGCGGCATTCCGCGCCGACCGCGCCGGCGACGCCGGACCAGGATGCATCACGCGCTGGCCCCCGGCAGCCCTCACCCGGGAAGCGCGGCGAATACGAGCAGTAGCAGACGACGGGAGCACCACTCCGTGAGGCGTCATGTTTGAAGAATCGGACTCGGTCGGTCGAGAAGCTCATCGAGGGAATTCGTCCTCACCCGTGTGTCTACGACACGAAGAAGCTTGAGTACCGTAGACCGTGCGCTTGCCAAAGATGCACCGTATATGTACATTGACCGCCTACGCTTGCGGCGCATGTGGTGCACCAACAGTGCAAGCGCGAGTTTTCGTCGTGCAAGGTACGTACGTCCACGCCATCGCTCGAACTTGGCGCTCAGGAAGCGCGAGAATTTTCCTCTGCTATTCGAAACGAAAGTATACCGGAAGTGGCGCACTGTCACAAGAAACGTGCCCTCGTAGTCAGATTCTGCGCATGCGCCACGCCGGCGGCCCACCGAAGCACAGCCGCGGAAGTCGCCAGGGCCGCCGGAGTATAAAGAGGGCGAATTTTTGACGCACGCGGCGTGATTGACGTGACGTAGCCGACTTCGGCCAGCGTTCGCTTGCGCGCGCGTTACGTCGGAGTATAACAGAGCCTTTACTGTGAGGTAACAATAATTAGAAAGCTCTATCACCAGTATCTTCTGCTTGATTATAGGTGAGTCAACCACCCAAACTCAGTGCGATAGAATATGTCTTTTTTAAAACAAACTTGTTCAAAATCACCTCGCCCTCGATGCATTTAACAGTAAAATATAAAACAAGTGTGGGTTTCATATTACACCGACGACATTCCTGTGTCGACAACTACAGTAAAAGTGGTTGAATTATAGTCTCTAGAAAGAGATTGTTAATTTTATTTAATGCAAACACAAGATTGGTGCTTTCCCACATTGTTCTCACACTGAACATTAAGCTCGTACCAAATTTCATTCCTTACTTTAGCGGTTCAAGTGACTAACCTCATGCACACACATGCAGTTTCGTCGTTTCCTGCATTTCAAACTTTGGCGCGCGATTTTCGAAGTGATCTTCAATTACCACAAGGCACGGTCCTAGTTTGTGTCCAATAAAATAGTTTAACAGGTTGACGAAATTCTTTTTAAATACGTCCTCAATGGTTCCAAAACGTAATTTTCGTCGAAATCGTTACTCGGTTTAATACGAAACGTCTATGCGGACACTAGTACGCGTTCGCACTAGAGTCACTAAATAAGCTACACTTTCAGAGTACCGCATTCCTTTTCTTAGGCATTTTGGCGACAATACAGTCGCTCTATTCAACAATATTCTGGTTCGCTGCGGCATCATTGGATAGCGGCAGTCACGTGAGTCGCTATCATCATCGTTACGTTTCTCCAACGCCACCATCTTGGGTCCAGCGATCCCCTGCCTGCTGCTGTCTGCTGTTTACTGCGCGCGCGCGCTGAAGTCCGTCGCTCAGCACGCGCGTTTTCCATGTTACGTCGAGGTACGAACACGACGACCTCGATTCGCTGCCACAGCTGCGGCAGCTGGCGCAGGCGACGGCTACAGCTCGGCTTGGCTCGGCTACAGTCGCTCCTTCATCTGCGCGTGGACCCAAGATGGCGGCGCCTGACGCGCTTCAGAACGCGTAGTTTGGGAGTTTCGGTACTCTGAAAGCGTAGCTATATTTAGTGACACTAGGTCGCACCTTTACCGTTGATTCAGTACGTCTGCTCCGAAATGACATCTTAGGAGCTCCGACGTCACACTTGACCTGCCACTGTGTTTCACATTACGGAATGCGTAAGTGTTAATTAAGTTTCTTCCTTTCCCGTTCACAACACTGCAGCGACGCTTTTTTCCATCTCCCGCTGCAACCTGTGCAACAAACGACCCCCAAAACCTCCGTTGATTTTCACTGGCCGTTGTTTATCAGGCCGCACACCTTTTGATCGACAGCCTTGCGAACCGCAGTGACGTCAATTCATCGGCCGCCCCGGCCGCTGGTTCACCAGTGCGTCGTCCAAGCAAGCCTGTACACTTTTTACCCGCAACGGGCTCCGGATGTCAAAGAATATTCGTCTTCCGGAGTTTAGAGGCGAAATGCGGGCTGGTTTGGACCGCCCTGAAAACTCAAGAAGGTAGGGCGAGGGCAGACGGGCCGGGGAGGAGGAAGCAGACGGAACGCTAAAGAGAGAAGGAACTTTCCCCTTCCCTTTTTCCAGCGTTCCGTCTGTTTCCTCCTTCCCGGCATGTCTTACCCTCGCCCTAATCTTCTTGAGTTGCCTCAGTCAAAGCATCATGAACTGCTAAACGTGGGACCTTGGTCAAGAGACGGTGGTGTAAATCAAAATTAGACTTACTTCACAATTTTACTTTGGGTGAAGTAAACATAAAGCATAAGGCATAAAGAGCCATCTAATTAAACGGCTTTTCAAAAAATACGAATGAGTATGTATCAGCTGCTCCCGACTATTTATAATAATAATAATAATAATAATAATAATAATAATAGTAATTTGTTTATTTAATGTGCCCAAAAACAACCACGCGGGTCTTCACATTGGCGCACACAAGACAAAAAGAAGAAACACAGCAAATTTATTTCCGAGAAACAAACTTTGTGCTAGATTACATTTTTATTGCCAAACAATTTGTGTCAATCAAAAGCGTCGAACATTTTCCAACTGCCAACTACTTGAGTTTTCTATAGTGATGAGCTTACTCGAGCATTTTGGCAACACAAAGAAAAAACAAAACTGCGCTGCCGAGTCCGAGTATCCATTCTTAATAGACACATAGTTCTCGGGTGAGTATTTAGAGAAAAAAAAAAAATTGAACGAAATTCAATCAAAATGCCGTCGTTTGGTCGGCCTTTTTGCTCCGCCCTTTCAAGTAACCCGTTACATTGAAAACAAGTTCTGGAAACATTCCAACGCACATTTCATCACACGATTCTCAGAAACGCACAGTCATTCAGCACATTCGCACATGCACACATGGTGTGCAGAAAATAACGCGAGTCTATGCTCCAGAAAAGAAACAAAATACAAAAACAATTAACTACGCCGTCACAACCGAGTTGGTCCCGCAGCGACTACCACGCAAAGTGTTGATTGGCTGCCGTCCGGACACGGAATCGTACATCTAGAGCTTGACGAAGATTTGCGCATACTGCTCCAGGAGGCAATCAAACAAAACGCAAAGATACATACACACATACACACACACGATACTCATGCGCGTGCTTTTCGCAAGGCCGGAGGTATCATTTCATATGTCCTGTTAAATAAGACGACTGCGGTTACTCACCCAAAAAAGTTAAATAAAGAAAAAGCTTAAAACAAAATCATAGGCGCGTTTTTCTGCAAAAGAAAAGCTTGGGGAAATGTTTCACATAACTCCCGTTTACGCTGTAATCTTGAAAGAATCAGTTCAAAGTCTTCTCACGAAGGGAGCAAGAGCATATCCGGGTAGTGCCACAGGTGATATACCTTTAACATCATACTGAGTGAACAGTGATCTTGGAATTGTTCGATTAAAAATTACCCCACGTTGACCAGCTCAGGTTTTCTTCTTGCAGGAGCGAAGCTAGTGGACTTCCCATGTCGTTTGTTGTATCTCTTGTTTTCTCGAAAACAACAACGAACAAGGCAGATGCTTCCCGCCTCGCGTTGTGCCGTGAGCCATTTTGATGGTCATTGCTAGAAGACTGTTCCTCACATAATAGATTCCCTTAAGTTCACCAAGACTCTCTGCTACGGCAGTCCGGGGCAGGCAAAACTATTTTGTAGCCCGATGTCCACAAATATTGTCCAATGACTCAGTACCTTTCAAACATTCCTTAACAGTACAATCTTCTCCCGTAGAAGATTTGCGGATACTACGCTATAGAGGAGTCAGTAAACTGAGAATATTAAATCTTTACGTCTAGCACCGTGAACTTGGTACATGGGCAGTATTGGTCAAGAAACCCGACGCTATCTTCGTTTCCAAGCCTCAAAGATGGCGGCTAATCTGCGTTTTTTTTTTGTATTTCCTATATGACGAGCCGCGTTATGACTGCAAAGGAAGCAGCCAATCACTTATTTGGGCAGTTTCTCACCCGCTGCCATCGTTCTCAAACGTCAACACCTTGCGCATGGAACTAACAATAGACGCTGCCACTTCGGAAATTCGCAGACTGAGATAACCCAGACGTTCCTTGTGGAATCCAACAGAAACACGAGCCAGTCTCATTCTAGTTTAGGTTGGACACGGAGAGCTGGGAGACCTGCGTACCGTACACCCGCAGTTCTTCTGACAGGCCGCATCCGTTCGGGAGTGTCTACCACGGTCCTCACGGGCGGAGACGAAGGAAGACGGGCGTCAGAACTTCTTTCGGAGGTAGGCGAGTCCCACGGACACGGTGACGCCCACGAAGAGTATGATGGACAGTGCGATGACCCCCATGCACAGGGCCCTCTTGCGGCGGGACCGAAGAGTCTTCTGCCGCATGTACTGCTGCCACTCCTCCCAGGCGTAAGGGACGCCGTTGGCCTGCTGCTTCTCCAAGAGGCCGTTCTCGGCCTGGTAGAGAAAAAGAAATACAAAAAAAAGAGAATAAATATATCTGGTTAGGGCTGCCCAGCAGACCAGAGGGAATCAGCTGTCTAGTGGCCTGGTCACACATAAACGGTCTTGATCCCCGACAAACACGGTTCTTCCTATTGTTACGGATAACTACTGGCCTCTAATGTGACAATTGACGAATCAAGTGACAGATAGTGCGATAATCAACATACAGCGTGTGATCGAGGGTGACTGATCCATCCATCAGGCAGATTCTAATGTACTACAATTAGCTTATGCGGGTCTGAATAACCGACGAGCGACAAAAAATACAGCGAAAATACTTTTAAGGTGCGAGCATTTAAAATCCACCAGAGAGAAAGAACCGAATGACTCGCTTCTTGCTCTAATTTCGCAACTTCGGCAAAAATGTGCTGATTGGTACGACCACAATTTACAACTGTATTTTTTTTTTATCACCGGCTGACGACAATCGAGGTGCTGTTTGAAGCATGGCAAAAACCCCGACATAGCATAAAATGCATCAAATTGAGACCTTTTAGTGCATGTATCGTTTCTATCCGCAGCCTCGGGTTTTTTGTCAAGCTAATGCCCGTGTCCCACTAGAGCGACAGACAGAAACAAACGACAGCGACAAGCCTCAAACCAGAGTCTTTCGCGATTTGTCAGGGTTTGTATAATAAAGGAGGCTATGCTCAAACACGAGCATCATGCACGCAAGGGTATCTTTGGCAGGCTTGCAATCGCTCGTGCTTACTTCACGAGCACCGAACGACTAAACGCCTGCCAAAGGTGCCATCGCGAGCATGCTGCATGGGTTTTCGGCATGCTGCATGGGTTTTCGGCACACTGACATGTGGTGACCGAAATTCCATAGCATTTCCAACTTCTGCATTCTATAAACTTCGGCTAGAAGAATGTCTATGGAAAACATATTGAAAAACTGTTGATACGACGAGATAAAGAGGACGTTGAAAGAGTCATTAGAATGTGGATTTCAATAGATCGCCTTTTTGTAAGGGCTGGGCTTTTAACTCGTCACCGGACATAGTTGTGGAACCTGGAAGTCTAGACTATTCAGAAAATCCCTGTACGCAACACTGCTCGCGTTGTATTATGAAACCTGGTTGCCCAGGAAGAGGAGTGGCATGGGTTCGATCGCCCCGTTGACGATGTAGGGCATCTCGGCCGGACAGCGTGAAAATAAACTCAGCGCTCGCTTTCGTCGCACCCATTCCTCTTCGTGTGAGCCCCCGTTGAAACACGGACCTCCAGCAGCCATAAGGGCCTGCCTAGGCTTGTAGAAAAGTCAGAGTGCAGTCTGCCGCGTTCAGTGTCTGGCAGCCTACTAGTGCAGAGTGCAGCATGTCCCTCCCGGCTCGCGGATAATTTAAGAAGCCTAAGAATGTGAGGAGCCGTTGGAACGGGATGACCGGCCCACTATACTTCCATGTGCCATTGTCGACTTGCGTTTAACTGCACATAAACTCCGGCACTTCGGAAGTAAACGTGCCCCAGCATTTTATCCGTATCGGTAGGCAACACCTACATTATTATACATTAAAGGAAAGTCGCATATTTGAAAACGCGAGAGCTGTGTTTGGTGTTGCCGTGATGTCGTGATGTCAGCTTTTTGCCAATCAGGCCAGAATCTGGCGACTGGAAGAGTCACTGGAAGGCCATCTGCCTTCGCAGTGACTCTTCCAACCTACTGAGCTGCAGTGCCGCACCGGAACCATAGGTAAATTTTATGAATCAAAGAAGAGGCCGCTAAGAAGTGAGAGTGCATACAATGCGGCCGTGTCCGAAGCCACTGGCTCGCTGTAGAAATGGTATGGCCTGCATAGCAGTAGAAATGTGCTCGCGAGCCCATTTCTACCGCTATGCAGGTCATAAAACTTAAGATCACTGGAAGCCACATATGAGTGCGTTACTCAAAGCGCATGCTCACAACGAGCTTATCTCTTTCGTCTCCCAAGAAGGACAATCTTGATGATGACACTTTGGGAAGGAAGGAAGGAACATACTTTATTTACAGCAGCTCATTGTCCGAGCCGCGTTTTTTGGTTTTACCGCTTCTATATGGTGTTTGTAGTCAGGTTACGAGAAGTGTCCGTCCTAGCTTGCATGTTCGTTGTTGTTGCATGATGTTAATCCGAGGACATGTTCGACATGGTTCTGCAGTTGTTTCCATAAGGTAGCTTGCAGGTCCTGTGGCGGTGCTGCCCAGCTCTCCCACGTGTGGGGGATGTGGAGTGGTAGCTGAGTTTCTTCAAGAATATACGGCGAGTTCTGTGCCCTCGGGCACTCCCAGTATGTATGCCTGTTATCGGGAGGTTGTGCTCCGCACACTTGACATCTGGGCAGTCCTCCGAGGTTGTGTATGTAGTGTAGCGTCATGTCACACGGGAGTGAGTTTGTTTGTGCTTGCCGTATGAACGTGGCTTGTCTGCGCGGTGTACTGTGTAGTGGAGTGGGAAATTTGCGTTGCTCCTCTCTCATCTCCTTGAGGAAGGTCCTTCGTTTTTTTCTCTGCTCCGCTCTGTCTTCTCTTGGGTCGTAGGCCTGCGGCCAACCGATTGGTACGCTCGGTTCTGTGTTATCTCGAGACAGGGCGTGCGCCCTTTCGTTCCCTTCGATTGCCTGGTGGCCTGGTACCCACTCGAGGTAGATGCGCAAGTGGGGGTGATTGGTCATGTATTGGGTGAGGAGTCCTAATATGTGTTCAGGTAAGTCGTTTTTAGCGTAAGCCCTGAGCGCGTCCTGGCTGTCCGTTCTAATCGTGAGCTCATTCGTTGTGTGTGAGTGGAGGGTTGCGGCTTCGGCGATCGCCTGTATTTCGGCTGCTGTCACCGATGGGACGTTCGCATGACGCCTGACGACGTGGCCTTTGGGACCCACGACACTTTGGGGATGCATCGCTGCGAGCAAGCGCTCTACATCAACGAACTCGGCTATTGTCTTTTTATTGGTGTTAGGGTCAGCGAAGCTGATTTCCTTACCAGGACGTGTCCGTTTGGTAGGGGGTCCTTGCTGGGCGGATCCGCCAGGCTGTCTTGGTCGCACTTGCTGCCGGTGGGACTCCGGTCTCCCTTGTCGGGCTCGTCTTCCTCATCCTCGTTGAGGTCGGACCTGTCAACCAGTGTCCGGGAACAAAATGAGACGCTAGACACCAGCTTGGAGCACGTGGAGCGAAAGCTCGCGCTGCAGAACCCAGGGATCCTGGGTTCAATCCCCACCCCTGCCTGTTTGGATCTGGATGAGCATCGTACGGGCGTGTGGTCGTGTATCACTACTCCGTGGCGCACGTTAAAGGATGTCATTGAAAGAATTTCGGCCAATGACGTGCCCTAAAGGCGCGTTCCCACCGGCGATGCGATCTAGTCGCGCGATAACTTTCATCGCAAAAGCGACCATCGCGGGCAAAAGGCGACGCGATTTGAGCAGTCGCTACTCGACCCGACTTTTTTGCGATGCGATCTAGTCGCGGAGCGGCTGAGCCAATCAACGGCGTTCGGAGCGAGTTTTTGAGAAGCGACTCGCCAACGAAGGCGTTGGACTCGCTCATCGCGCACGCCGGTGTGACCATCTAGCTTCTTTTGGCGATGCGATCTATCGCATCGCGCGACTGCTTACATCGCCGGTGGGAATGCGCCTTTATACTCGCCCTACTCTTACCAATTAATGACCAAACTTTCTACATATTCGGCTCTGATCTCGCACAGATTTCCTCTAATCTCGCAGAATTTGGTTGTGGGTATGTTTATGCACCCTTGAAGTTAGTCTGCCTTCAACGAGTGACTTGTCTCTCAACTGTAGACGAGCAATTTAGCCGGTGCAGTACAACCGCTAGCCTATAGTGTTTAACGTCTACCACGCAGTAGTGATACACCACCGCACGCCGGTACGATGCTAATCCGGATCGAAACGGCCAGTAATCTTACAGAGCCAGAGTATCGCGTTCCTTTTCTTTGAGCGCCAACTCTGTATTGGCGGAGACGCGTTCACGTGCGCCGAGCTGGATCCAACCTTTACGAGGGAAAGCGACCTTGCAGGCGCCGAGTTTCGGGCGGAGCATGTTTCTCGCTTTCTGTTTGCAAAATATATATCCTACATTAAAATCGATCAAACTGGATGGTTCCTTGACCATTGAACATGATGTGTGGCCACTGTGTACAGTAGAATCGCGTTGTTTTATAACGCGAGCGATATTTTGAACCATCTTTCCGAAGTCAGGGAAGCGGACAATACGGAGAACGATCGCGTTGCTCGCGTTTGCGGCACTCGCGGAGTGATACGCGACCGGCACATCCGGGCACTTCGGACCAGACAACCACGCGCAGCTACGGCTTGCAAAGGGATGACGTTTCCGTCGGGTGTTACGTTCTACAGAGGGCATAGAGAAGAATAGGAAACAAATGAGAGGACGAAAGCGCACGCGTGGCGTGTCGCCGCACTATATCTTCTCTACTTCGCACGCCGCAGCACGCAGCAGCACAGCAACGCCATCTCCTGCAGAAGCGACCACGTAGCTTCCCACAGTGCGGCCTTGGATCCAACATGGCCGCCCTGGGAGCACCATTACGATAATCTGCTCCGCAAGCGGAGCATATACAGTTCAGAGAACACAGTAATGACATTACTGTAATGAAACTAGAGTAATTAAATTATTTTCTCTGGTAACGAGTAACGTAAATAATTAATTTTCTAGACTAAGAATTAGCCTAGAAAAGGCAGTAATTCTAGGAATTACTTTATAATTCTGAAACAATTACTCATTACTTTGGAATTACTTTTGTCCCAAATGAGACAGTTCGTTTGCGAGGAGAAACTTATCTTGCATGGTGAAATATTGCGACAGAGACATCACAGCGAATGAACGACGGCTGTTGTTGCTGTTTGTGGGCTTTATGGCACAAAAGCAACGGAGGCCATATTATGCCAAGCTGAAGACAGTCAAGGTACAATGGTCGCCGTGCTACAAAAGAGCAACTTTAGAAACAGGTAAAACTAAATCTGGTGTATCAGGCCAATACTAGTAATAAAACCACAAGTCTTCCAAAGGGGACAAGAGGATGGTTTCCCAGGAAGAGAACTGGTGAGATGGGATGTGGCACCGAACGAATTTCGGAAAATGATTATAACGTTCTGATTTGACTTCTGAACAGAGCCACAAATTATGAAGAATGTGCGTCCACACCATGGCCGTACCGACCGGGGGGGGGGGGGGGTGAGGGGGGCAAGGTATCTGTTTTGCCCTGCCGCCCCCCCCCCCCCCCCCCCCTTTCCGAAACCGCCGCCACTGGGCAGGGCAGACACTGTCGGCGGCGCCCAAGGGATACCAAGGGCAGTGCCCCCCGGCCCTGGGGGGGGGGGGGGGGGGGGGGTGTGGTTTGCCCCTTACTCGAAAACAAGTTGGTACGCCACTGGTCCTCACAGATATTCACACAGGTGAATCGTCCCCGCACCGAAAATACTTGTGTGTGACAAAAAAGAGTGGCCAATTTGAAGCCGACACATCAACAACTTCATGAAATCTGTTCTCAAACGAAGAGCTCTCCCAGGTCCCGAGGACCGGCTTGGGCACGTGGAGCTTATTATTGCACTCCACATCCCATTCTGCCTGCCATGACCCAAAGAGTGACGATTTGATTAAAGGCTCAATGTCCTGGTAGGGGAAGCCTGCGTGAGATTGAGGGGTCCCTCGAGGATGTAGCAAGCCTGTCAGACTCCTCGTCGCCCCTTGTTCCTTTGTTACTCGGCACCCAACAAAATCTTATAATATAGCCCCCCCCCCCCCCCCCCCCCCCCAAGAAGCGCTGTTAAGCTTACACTCTAGGTGTTGTACAAGCGGATTTCTAGAAGCTTCCAAAGTGGGCTTCATCGGTATAAAAGTGGGCATAACCCTCATACTTCTTTTCGACCTCATAAACTTCTTGTTGAATAACTTGGGTTGGCACACTACACTTATTAAACTTTGTGAATGTCCAGTCACAAGCCACTGGCTGCACATCCCAGAAAGCAACCTGCTATACATTCTGTATAAGGCTAACTTCGTCCAGTCCCAGTTGAAGAGAAGAACGAAAATGCTTAACACGGAAGATCAGTGGTATCACTACGCTCAGTTTGTTTTCAAAAATACAGGATCTGGACTTCTGCACTGAACGGTACTTTGTATGAGTACGGTCGGCTAGCATGTTGTAAGTGTGTGTTAAACTGAGGTACTGGCGTGTCCTCTCAAGCAACGTTTCGTTTTATTCTGCATACAGGCTGAGGATAGGAGGCGTTCGAAAAGCTCCTGCTGCAAGTCGTCAGCCAAGGCGGGGGATGGGATCGAATATCCCAATCGCAGACGGTCTGGCGGAAACTTATACTGGAGCTCTATAGTCCAAACGAAATCGAATGAGAGCACTGTATTGCCCAAGGAGGCATTTTCTGTCCGGTCCCCATGTCTTATATGCTAGCATTTTAAGAAGATTGGCAGTTTTAAAAAATATTGTCTTTAGAGACTTTAGTGAGGAAAAGGTTCAGCTTCTTATCAAACGTAACACGCAGTAATTTGTGTTCATTCCTGATAGGGATGCAGGTTTTGTACAATGCAAGTAAAAGGTCCAAGGAGAACCCCGACCCCAAAAAAATGGTGCTCAGACAATTTTCTCAGGCGAGAACTTAAATCCGCATTCCTCGGCCCTTTTGCTAAGGTTATTTATGGCTAGCTGTAGCTGGCGCTCGCACCCAGACATATTACAAGAGGACGCTGAAATTTGGATGTCGTCAACAAACAGCGAAAATGAAACAGACTAGGGCAGGGCAAGAGAGTTCATTTTAACAATAAACAAAGTGACACTTAAGATGCCACCCTGAGGGAGTCCGGTTTCTTGAACACATGAGTCCGAGAGGGTGGTATACCCAACCCGCGCAGACGCGCCTCCCGCACAGACACGACAATTGTACCGCAAACATGAGCTGAACTGCAGCCAGCACCGGCATTATTGTTGCGGCCGTGGGACCGCAATTTAGCTGCCCACGACGTACACGAAACGCACACGGATTCGTTGCGAAACTTCACCAAGAACGGGCATCGCGACGCAGTCCTACATACAAAATACATGGTGTTCGCTGCAAACATGATGACATCTGACGACACGCCCAAGCATATGTTTGTTTCATACACATGTCTGCAGAGAGTATGACCAATGTTCACATACAAGGAAGAAACACACCTCAAATGGTGTCTCCAGACTGTCTTTTGTATGATATAATAGTGGAGTGACAGCGACTTTAAAGAGAGCGACTTGGAAGCACGTTGAAGCGCACTCACTTGAGGGCCTCCTTGGAGCCCGGCCTATGGGCGAACTTGACCTTGCGCCGTGAAGAGTAGGCTGGATGGCTCCGGCGGCAGGTGCAGGCGCCCGCCGCAGGACCCGCTGCCTCGCTGCCGTTCCACGAGTAGCGGCTCCGGGGTGCGTCCCCCCAGCGGCAGCACTCGGGCAGCAGAGCCGTGTTGTGCACGCAGCCGCACGGACACGCCTCGTAGGGACCGTGCCCCGGAGGGTACCTGCGGGGACGCATGCCCGTGACGTCGTGCGTATATAGCGTGCACGCGCATTTCCTTTTACGTGTGAGCTACGGAAGCAAGTGGACGATACAGGGTGGTTGGTTGTTGTCCCACTAGTGATATTTTGCGTGCTCTTTTCAAGCGACCTTTAACGACCGCTTTCATATCCTCGCGTATTTTTAGAGCTTTCTTAGGTGATAGCTGTTTTATATGGTGGGCACTTACCTTCGGCACACATAAAACATGGGCACTGTTGGCCAAGCCTAATATATATTCCAACCTCATGTAACCGAATTGTTTGCCGATAAAAGACTCGTCATGAAATCCATTTCAATCCGGCCTTATCTATGTCGAAGGAACATAACCTGATGACAGAAGTGGAATAGCGAAACCATGGCCGCATTCCTGCCACAAATTCCTCCGTTCTCGGCGACGTCCAACCCGGCAGAGGCATGGTCGCGGTGGCGATGCAGGCATGGTCGAGCGTACGTACAAGTATCACACCGAAGACGAGGGGACAAGCAAGTCGCTGTTCCTGCACGTCAGAGGCACCGAAACCAACGCAATTTACCAAACTTTGACGTCCCCGCCACTGGCAGCTGGCTACGAAAGGACACTGGCAGATGTCCTGGATGCGTTCGACGAACACTTTCGGCCATCAAGAAATCTCACACATGCATCGCACGCCTTCAAGAGCTTACAGCATAAGGCAGGTCAGTCGTTTGATTAGTTCGTCGCAGAAGTGAAGCTCAGGGGGCAAGAATGCTCGTTCGGGAAAGCGCACGACCGCATTGTGAAGGGTCGGCTAATTCAAGGAATTCGCGACAACGACCTTTGAGAACGTTTGCTGCGCGAGGGAGACGTTTCCTTCAAGTCGGTTATAGACAGGTCTAAGGCGGCCGAAGTATCAAAGACCCATTCAGAGGCCATGAAACAGAAGGAAGAAGGGGTTCCCGCCATGCGAAGTGAGAGACCAGGAACCGCCAAAAGAGCAAATTTCAAGAAGTCGGCAGATCGCCCACGCGACGGAGAGAGCGCACGCGACGGACGTGAGACTCAGCAGTCAAGTCAACAAGAGCATAGGAAGCAAGTGTAAGCACTGTTCGAAGAAAACGATGACGTGTGTCTGGATGCACTTTCCGTCTACATCCTAACCGACGACAGCTAGGCGTGGGTAGAAAGAGTCTACCTGAACCGTCACAAAACATTTGCAAAGCTTGACACAGGAGCTCAAGTGAACGTCATCTCAAAGAGTGAACTGCGTCAATGGGAGCCTCGACCAAGTGTGTACCGGACCAAAACCAAGGTGTCGACCTACTCAGGAGAACAACTACCAATCATAGGAGAATGTGAGCCGAGCTGCACTGCTAATTGACGGATTGGAAGCCTAAAGTTCTTTGTTGCCGACTAGGATGCAGTCCCGATACGGGGGCTGAAGGCGTGCAAACAGTACAACAGTACAAACAGTACAACGTCTCACATTCACACTGTGACGCCACGAGGCACAGGAAGCATGCCAGAAGCAGCACAACGCATCATCGAGGAGTATCAAGATGCCGTCACAGGTACGAGCAGACTCCCTGGACTCCACAAGATCGTACCGCGTGAGGATGCCGAGCCTAGTGTTTCAGCACCCAGGAAAATACCCAATGCATTAGTGGAGCAAGTGAAAGCTGAACTCAAGAGGATGGAAAAGGAAAAGGTTATTGTAAGAGTGACAAAGCCCACAAGTTACGGCAGTCCCATCGTCGTCGTTACGAAGCGAGACAGCTCCATAGGAGGTATTCACTGGACGCCATATTTGAGGGCGATGTTTAGAGCGCATGCTCAGAACGAGCTCACATTACTAGCCTATTAAGAACGGCAACCTTGATGGTGCTAAATGCACGCTTCAAAAGGACTACGGAAGCTAGCCTTCAGCACGCGCTCAGCAGCAGCGCACACGGATATGGCCCCCAGTGAATACTCCCTATTTGCGACTCCAGCAAAACGGACGCCACCAAGCGGGAAAACCGGGAACCAGCCGGTCCAGGTCGCTCCGCGTTCCTCCGCGTCTCTGGTGGCTTTCGCGGACACGTGCTGTCGGCGCGGTGGCGAACAATGTAATTTGACGAGGGTCCGAAAGTTTGCATGAGTGTTCATTAGTGTGGTGAAGCCTCAGTAGATTGTTTTCTTCCATCGCGTGTTTGAAAACCCGTTTACTCCACAACAGACGGTCGCGTGCTTTCGATTTCCTGGATGGGGAGGATTCACGGAAAAACGTTTCGATTTCTTGTTTGTCTCGAATCACATTCAAAGTAACGACTACTTGGTGTCTGATAAGTGGTTTCTTTATAAGGATGTAGAACAGTGGACTGAGGACGACAGACGAGGTGTTTCACTGGAGGGAACACCAACGTTGCAGTCAAGTGAATGGGAAGGTTCGACAGCCGCTTTTCTTGAGTTTGGTTGTGTTTGATTAGCCTCAAGTTTGTGCCACCCACGCCGGTCGGTGCGTTGGCTAGTCATCTTGGCTGCTTTTCGCCGAAAAAGCCTCTGAACCACACTGAAGGAGTTGGGCTGATTTCGCAAATACTTGATTCAGGAAAACCTGCTCGCTGCATATGAATAATGAGGGAAATTGTCTGCTTTCAAAAGGTGCAGGACGCGTCTCGCAAAGTTAGAAGCAGTCACGTTATTATGATCTATCGCGCCTCCAATATTTATATTATACCCCCGTCGAAGCCATCAGCAATATACGTCTACATTGCTCAGGTTTACCGGCCACAGAAAATGCTCATTTTCTCCGTTCAAGATTCGAGGTCAAGTTCAATGCAGAGAGGTTCTGCTTGAATCTGCGATGAAAACTCTCTTCAGTTCGTCCGCATTCGTCTCCGTGCTACCGGCTAGAACCATTTGGCTGAGTTCAAGTAGTATCTCTCTGTCTATGAAATATTATTCAGCAGTTCATCTAATACCTAGTCAACTAAGCTCCTATTTCAACCCGAAGAATATACTAATATCGCTTTAGTGGGACACAGTTCGTAATATAATACATAACCCGCTCGTCAAAATGAATTCTCGATTGCTACTAAAACCAGAATTGAAATAAGAATATCAGCTGCGTTGTGGGGCGCCAGCGGGTTAAAATGCTCCTAGGCTCGAGAAGCGCTCGCTCAATTTTCGTAATTTTCCTGCAGCCTGTGTTGATGACCGAACAAAAGCTCGATTTCTTGGACAGATAAGTCGCATGGTCGAGGCATGCGAGTTTGCTGAAAATTGCTCTCGGTAGAACAATTCTGTGGTCATCGCCGCTTTCCTTAGATGATCAAAACTGATTAAAGTATATTACCGTCTCTCCGGAGCCCATAGTTTCGGTTTCGAACGAAATCTCCGAAACGAAACTTTGACATGAAAAGAGCAAAAAATAACGGGAAAACAAAACTATGCTTTGCAAGTTTATGTGCACCGGCTACACGTAACCATCTCAGTTCAGATACCTATAAAATTTGGCATTAAACAAAAGAATATCTGTTAAATTGAATGCGCCACTTGTTCAGGCAGCCCGGCCGAGTCGACGCGACCTGGACTCAGCCGCCATGTTTGTTTGGTGGTGGCGCCCCCTATAGGTCGCTGGAGTCGCGAATAGGGAGTGCTCACTGGACGCCATATTCGTGGGTGCTGTTTAGAGCGCATGCTCAGAACGAGCTCACATCAATAGGGTGCTAAGACCAACACTCTTGATGGTGCGGAATGCACGTTGCAAAAGAGCTGTGGAAGCTCGCCATCAGCACGCGCTCAGCATTCGCGCACACAAGCTATGGCCGCCAGTGAATACTCCCTATACGGCTATGTTTATATTCACGAGAGTTTAATGAGAGCATGATCCGTTCGCGCTATCAGATCCCAACGCAAGAGACTCTCCTGCCAAGCTACATAATGCAACGGTCTTGACGTTGTTTAACGTCTCGCATGCATTTCACCGGGAACGCGACAGAACAGCACACGACAAAACAGCACGGTCAAAACAGCACGCGTCAAAACAGCACAGCGTCAAAACAGCACGGCGACAAAACAGCAGGCGTCAAAATAGCACGCGACAAAACAGCACAGCGTCAAAATGGCAAAGCGACAGAAGAGCACATGCCAAAACAGCACTGCGTCAAGACAGCACAGCGACAAAACAGCACGTATGTAGCAGCTTCGAGCGCATTCTTCACCTCCCTCTGCGCGAATATTTTCGAACCTCCTTAACCCTTTCGTTTATTGTCGCTAGGTTATAAAGGAATTTATAGCCTATTTCATTGCTAAGTCAGTGTCCCGACTGGTGCTGCTGTGTGATTGCTAAAAACAAACGAAGTTAGCAGTAGTTACTACTACTTAACTGCGCTGATCTTTGATGAGATTGGGTAGTTAGAGGTGATATCTTCGCCTCGATGTCAACCGCGTTGTCAAGTCTCTTTTTTTTTTTTTTTTTTTTTAGATTTAGCGAAAGAGAAAAAGTTATTTGGAAAATGAAATCCATAAGGTCAAGTTATGAACCGTCTGGTTTTCGGTGGTCCGGTAAGGGTACTCGGCGTTTCGTAATTACCACCTAAGTGTAAAACGTCCCCCCCAAAAAGCGGGAGATGCGTTGATTACAGATGCATCGATAGAACCGGGAAGATGAGGCAACTTAATGTCGAGCGAATTCATGATGTACCATGAGCACAGATTCTGTGGGGTTCATTCGTCGTGAACAAAATTTCCGGAAACACGCAGCTGCAGCTTGCAGGCGAGAAGTTGTTTTGAGTTAAATTCACAGATTATTGCCGACGAAGGCCTCGATCGAGTGGAAACCGGGGAAGCAGAAACATGCCATAGCCTTAATGATGTTGCCGCACAGCATGGGCTAACGCTAAGCACACCGTTGCCGCACATACTTCTTTTTTTTTTTTCATTTAACAACTAACAACAACATGTTGCCGTGCAATTGATTCATTTATTGTAGACGACATCACCAGCAATCTTGCGCGTCAACG